TTTAAATTATTTATATACATTTGCATAGTATATGTATACATGGTATGTATATAATTAAATTTATAATATACGAAAACAGATAGATTTGATCATAAAACATAATTATGTACCTATACTAAACGAAAATATAACTCAAATTTATCGTAGTGTGAAAATATTATTACTATTAATAATATTATAAATTATAATATTTGTCGAATTCGTGTTTTACATGGATTGCGGGGCGTGCCTATATTATTTTAATAGTTTTTACTGTGTACAGGTACTGTAGGTCTTTGTACTACTAATTAAAGATTATACTTTAACATTTACACGAAAGTACAAGGGAGTAGAAAACTGGTTGAATACTGTTCCCGCATTGTTTCAAAACTACTTTTCTTTATGAAATGAAAAATGATTATAATAAAAAGCAGTAATAAATAATAATGTTCAAAATTCAAGAAAAACGTCTGAATTCGAGTGCGTGTACATAATATCTAAAAGGATCGTAATCTATATAATAATATTATAATTTTTTGCAATTTGCAAAGAGGCGCTCCGGCCATTATGGTCGATATCGCTCGACGGAATGGTCGTATATCGTGTGTACACGGTACACAGAGAGACAAGATAATGGACATAATTACATGTTATTAGGATTTCGTTTAAGTAGTCATTTAAACCGATCGGCCTTCTCCATATAACGGGAAGTAGATTTCCTGCTGCAGGAGATTGATTTGTGCACGATTGACAGTTCGGCGAGTCGGATACCTATGGTCGGCACATATATACATGTATAGCCAGTATAATAATATAATATGAGCACATAGTGTAAAATAATACGTATAATAATATGTAAACGAACTCGATGGACTGTAATTTATTTAAATGAGAAGTTTGTTTTCTTATAGATACATGATATCGTACAATATATAATATTCACGCACGCACTTGGAATGTATAGTGGTTTTTTTTCTGCATGAAACTATTAAAGAAGAATTATGAGAATATTTAGAAATCGATTAAAAACTGCTTCACTGATGTAGGTGGTAGGTACCACTACTACCACTATAATAGTATTATATTATATATAGGTAGTACGGGTACGCTTTAATGATATTATAAAAATCATCGCGATAGTATCCAAACAAAACGTCCAGCACGTTATTTGATCACGCCGTTAATAGTAATAATAGTAATACGATTTATTATCGTAATTATTTCGTCGATAAAAGGAGAGAATAATCGCAAATCACGATTGGCGCCGGAAGGATTTAAGGGAAAAAACGCACGCACACATCTTTTGTATACAATCGTCGCACACACAATCCACGTGCCGAATTAAAAGTAATAATAACAATAATAATAATAATAGTTGCAACAATCGACGACCCATCCACCAAAAAAGAAAATATTTATCACGTTTCACCTGATTATTGTGACGACGATGCGGATTTAAAAACACTCGTTAGTGGTACTTTTTTCAGTAATTGTTGTGCAATATAATATATAGCACTGATATACAAATGCTGAGCGTAAGTAATAATAATAATAAGTTTAGTTAGGCCGGAATAGGACGCGTAGTACCCGTGGAACTACTTTTCGATTGTGTATCCGATCTTGTAGGTAAGTAAGTAGGTACGGTATAGTCGGTAAAGAAAACGATTAGGAACGAGACGTGAACAACGATCGAGACTCGAAAGGGTTCATTGTTGTGTACGACTTATAATTCTCATCGAAAATATTGTATATTATTATGTTTGTTTATAGTAATCCTTTTTGAACTTTACAATTTTTTTTTTTTTTAGAAGTCAAAGCAAATGCAAACAGTGGAGAAAGGCGTTGGTCTCTGTGCAATGGCGATTGCTCAATACCTACGAAGTTTGATATGAACCATCAATAGTTAGTTTGTCCGTCGAAAAATTTCTAAAACGAGATAAGTTAAACGTCATCATTTAAATGCTCGGGTTCGTTAATAGTTTATATAAGTACCTATATCTTGTTAGATACTCGTACTAGCTACATTATAATTTATAATTTATAAACAGCATCATCGAAGTTTTAACATACCACATACCTAATGTATTCACTATTTACACCTATATGCATATTATAATTTATATTATAATGGCGTGTAATGCATTTTCAGCAATCATCCTCTGATTAAATTGCCTTCATTTAAAAATAAAAACATATTATTATTTAATATTAATTATTGTTTAACAAAATATCTTCAATGAAACATAGATTTAGAAGATTAACCTTAGTTCTAATTAGAGCTGTAGCAATTCAAAACTGAACATTTCAACTGTTATTTACTTATTTGGATAAACTCATCAACACAACATATCTGGATAAGTGTGTTATGTTTTCACTGAGTGATTTAAATGTATTTACTATTTATATTATATATTTGTTCATGTTTAAACTGTATAGAGGAATCTATGTATAATATGACGTGATAATGTATGTATAATGTATAATTATTGCGTATAAATATTTTTGAAAATAAATCATAGTTTGAATAATATTTTCTGAGGAGGTTTATGGAAATATGATGTTATGATTAAGGTAGAATATTTTACACATAGTTCTGATTTTTGCTCAAACAAATGACTTAAATTTCAAACTATTTACGGAGCATTAAAATAACAAGGAATGTATAACAACACAAAAATTATATGTAAAAACGTTTAAAAACTTTTTAAGAATAAATGAGTACCTTCAGGATTTTGACCTATCCTTTTAAAATAACGACTAGGTAATAAATTTAATGTTTGATTGTCGGATTACCAAAATAATATATACATATAGCAAAGTATGTATAGTAAGTAGTATGTAGCACCTATATATAATTTATTTTTATATATTATTATACATGTGTGTACATCATTATAAACAAAAACAAATCAAAATGTCTACAGGTTAATAGACTTTAACGACTGGTCCGTTTTACGACTAATGTTGTGCCTATTGTACAGCGCCGTTTTTATTTTTATTTTCCATTTTACGATATGCATTGCATTTTTGGGAACCGTTTAGTATCTGACAGCCGCATAGGATGTACGGTTGGATGATATCCGGCAGAAATTTTTCGATCCGACCGCAGGCTGTCTCGGACATTGGAAAGCATTATTATTTTTGTATACGGTGAAATTAAAAGCAAAACACAAAAAAATGTGAAAAATAACTCCCGCGGATAGATTATCGGATTTTTCACGGTAGCTAACTCGATTTTAATATGGATGAAATTGAAAAATTATGTCTATCGGAAGCTAACTATTTAAATGGATTAAACTCCCGGAAAGTATTAACTAAGAGCCATTAATCATAGGTATTATTATTTACGATTTTACAAATGCATTTATACTATTGCACCTACATTTGTACTCTCAAGTTACAAAATTATAAAATGTATTCTATATATTATATTAAATTATAACATACGTTGTATACTCTTGGAATTGATATTTGGATGTCCACATTAATTGATATTGACGTAAGCATAATATAAAAAAAGATAGCTTCTATATGAATTATAATACTACCTATAGACCTAATATTAATAATATTAAGTATTGTTTTAAACTCTCCTTGAGTTATTTTTCCATAGAAAAAATATTTGGGCTATTTAATTTTTGTATAATATATACGTAAACATTAATAAGTTGTAAATCGAAATCATACATACCTATACTTAAGATTATAATAAAAATATTTAAAATCATAATTGTTATTATATCTCAGAAATTAAAAATAATTTTAGAAATTTAACAATAAATGTAAAAAAAAAATTAATTATTTGCAACATGTTCTTAATTGTTGACTAGGTATATACACTCAAATTTGCTATAACTTATAAACCATTCCTATTTTAGTGTTCACCGGTAGTTAGGTTTGTTTCTCTTATTTATGTTTGAGTTTCCCAATATACTAAAAAAGGATTCAGAATATGTGGATAAATATTATATTAATCTTAAATAATAAAAATTTAGTCAGGAAATTAATGAATACCCATAACTTGTATTGCGTTGTAAGTAATTAGTGAGAAATAAATATTTTGACAAAATCGAAACAATTATTATATTTATATTATATTATAATATGACCATAATAAATATCATAAAGTTAGTATAAATATTCTGATTTTACGAGTATAAATAATTCGAAATCTTTATTTTATTCATACATTTTATGCTAATAATTATAATTTTACAATAATTTTTATAGTAGTTGTTTAAAACGATTCGTTTTCAGTACAGTGCAACAGTAACACGGTGAGGAAATGAGGACAACTATAGACAAATACGTCGTTTGATCGTTCTTATCGTCTATACATTCACTCTACTGAAAAAAATTATTTCTTCAATTTTATCTTCGTCCTTTATAAACGAACAATTTCTTTATTTTTATAATGTTATACATATTATGGTTTTCATTCTACGAATACAAAACGAAAACAAAATCCGAAAATCTACGAAAATAATGTGTACATTTAAATATTTTGAAAAATGCCCCTATATCATACGCATAAGCTTATACATTTTAAAATGTAAAATAACATAATATTTTTCTTTATATAAGTAAAATACACAAAAACTGAAATTGTATCAATTTACACAGGACTGGGTACAAGTATATTGAAAATAATTTTAAAAAAATCGGAATATACAAATGAAAAACGGCTTTATTGAAAAAATGTATTAAGCGTATGACAATATTATAGGGTTGTATTTAATATATTCATACTAATTAATAGCACTTTTTATATGCCTGACGATGTACACTTGTCTTTTTTTTTAATACTATCGATATTGCATGGACTATATAGCTGGACTACTTGGGTTAAAACTTTTTTCTTCAAAAATGACAATGACAATTTAAACATAAAGCCTAGTAATACGATAAATATGGTAGGTATTATATGAAATACCTGCAGCCAAGCAGTGCAGATAAAAATTTTTATCAATTTTTTCTCATATTTTGTGGAATAAAAGGTATATATTATAATGTAAACTCACCACAAAGCTCATTATTTGCTGAAGTTTGGACACATTCACAATCATCGCGTCACGTGCGCGCGCACTGGGTAGGTATCTATACTTTTTAAAATATAATATCTTTTGCTGCTGCTGCTTCTGTTGTGTACAAACACTCGTAGCGTAATCAACGGCAAATACTCGTGTATTAAACTTTAATAAATTTGTTTATTGAGAATATTTTTATGAGAAATACGGACAAACGAACAATTTATAAAAATTATTAAAACAGTCGAACCGAAAACCAACTAAACTGACAACATGTTTAAACGTGGCCAATAACAATACTTATACGTTCATGGAAACCGATCGACAGAGTCCAGAATTCAGCAGCGGTCATGGTTGGGCAGCGGACCCGCCGAGTGCGTGAATGGACACCTCGTGGACCGCGGAGACTGCGTCGGATATAACAACTGCAGCGGCGTTGGTGGAGGTGGCGGTGGTGGAGGTGACGGTGGTGGTGGTGGTGGTGGTGGTGGATCTAGGTGCTTCGAATCTTATGCCAACACTCCTATCTATTTACAGTATAAACATACCGATATGAATTAGCCCACTTTTAAACGTATACCTATTGTTCATATTTTTATCAGCAAAGTAAATGGCCACTGATACAGATTATTATGACATGTATATACATGTGTGCGTCTGGGTTCACGTATTTTATGATAATATTATACAAATTATAAATACCTGTTTGATGTATTTATGTTTGTAATAGGCATATATAGGTACTATTTGTATATACCTGAGGAACCTTACATATAGTACAAAGTGATATAGAAGTCACCCAAGCGCGTGATGATAAATAATTATAAATATTATTTATTGCTGTTATATGAATATCGGGGCTTATTGTGTGAAAGGGAAATACACTTTTATTTTGTAGTTTTCAATAGGGCCGTTGTTTGGTTGGCGTTTAGAATAATATAAAACAAAATATTATGTAGGTACGGTACAATACGCCACGCGCGTCACTACGCTCGCTCTCACACTATGAACTCATAAATGTAAATAGCTTTTAGATTTTAGATGACTACAAACTTCGTTTATTTAAATATTATTATTCGAGCGTGATCATTCGCCTAGTTAGTGCAATTAGGCTAAACCTAAAATTTCAGTAGGTATAGGCAATAGGTACCTTAGTACCTATAATTGTACATCATATTATTATAAAGTGTAGAACTGTATAATCCCATGTTATTTTCAACAAAATCAACATCACTACATCAGATATTATTTTGAACATTAATAATTATTATTTTACATTAATTGTCGTCAAATATTTGAAGGCCGATTACTATGGGACCCATCTTTTTCTGCATTAAAAAAATACTTATATAAATTACTTATAATAGTTATATTATCAATTATGTAAAAATGTACTAAAATTGAATTTTAAAAGTATTAAATAATGATAAAAATTATATAACAAGTCAGGAAATTATAATATTTTAAATTTTAATACATTGATAATTATTAATTTTAATTTTTTTTGGGGGGAGGGGGCTTGAACTTTACAATATTGCAATAGGTACTAATTTGTGCTAACTTAGTTGTTTTAGCTGATTTTTTCTAATAAGAACCGTTCAAGTTTTTAGCCTATAGTTGGATGGTAAACAGGTTATAGCCTACCAAAATTAAAAATCCAAGATTCCAGTAGTATATCTATATATAGTTCATAATCTGGCTCTTAATACATCATTAGTCGACTGTCAAACTGTACCTATATTAATTTATTAACAATGTCAGTGCCTACAGATAATTAGTATTAATTTAGTAAACAGAATAAAAAAGAAAATTATTTTCTTCAATAACTTTTTATAAACGCAGATATTCAATAACCATTTAAACTTATAAATATTTGTATATAATTATGAATGTATAAAATGGGTTACAAGAAAGTTTACTCAGTTTACTATACGTGTTTACTAAGTCTGTGAAAATCTAATGTATAGTGTAGCGTAACTCGTGTCTTTAACATCTATCAATCGTAGATACTATATCACTTCTGGAAATCGATTGTTATATTTACTATAACCTAGTGTTCCAACTTTCATTTTAAATCAATGATGCATGATGTATAGGTTGCACAATTTAGCCCTATAATAATTATTAATTAACCACCGTTCACATCAATAAAACGAACTCAAGCTTGAGATGAAAATAAATAATACAAAACAGGAAATTTGTTAACGTAACGTTAAATTTACACGGACCCATGGTGGATATTATATTTGTATGTAGAATGTGTATTTATACATAGGTACATAAGTATCTTAACTATTCAAACACAAGTACATTGTTACAAGTTGATAACTGTCTAGAGTTTGGGGAAATTATAAACGGTACTGCTACAGTCTGCTGCTTCCGGATGAAAAAAATTCATACAGCGTAATAAGCAGGAATGAAAATAAAAATGTCTTTAACTGTTTCATGTGTTATAACAACCTGTAAAAGTGTAAACAACAACGGCCGTTATAGGGTACGAAAATTAAAATAATAACCGTACAAAACGTCGGTTCGTTTCTTTTCAGCGAATATAGCCGTATATATTATGGCGTAAGTATATACTTGCTATATATTATTACCTGTACAACTATTATATGATATAGTGATATATACCTACCACTTTTGTCACTGGTGGCATACACGATAGCGTATGTCAAAAACGAATGATTTTAAGATATTCGGCCAGCGCTAGGGTAAGCTGTAGGTATATTACATCGACGCGTGAAACTAACGAAAATACTTAAATACGTGATATATACTACTAGTATAATAGCTATTAGCTGTATATGTATATTGTATATCCAATATGGCAATATCCATATTTTAACATCCACTATCCGCAACTTGATAATAATATATAAGTCACTACTCATTAAACATAGCCACTATAGCCATGAGCGCAACTAAATCAATATTTTTGAGGGTGCACAGTTTCCCATTCCTATTTATATCAATAATAATTGAAAATATGTTATATATATATGTACTATACTTCAATATGAGTGAAGCAGTCACATATTAGAAAAATAAAATTAGGTAAGTATCACAACTATTTTAACATGATTTTTCTGTCCAGTAGGTAGTAGTTATATTTATTTAAATAATAATTGCTAGTTCAGACTTCATCATGCTGTGGTCCTTCTCTCCTCTCTCAATTACCCAACAATTTTAACACTGGCTGATTTTGACTAGGTGTCTAGGTGTATAACAGTTTGAAACTGGAAGACCCATATCGTTAATTGCACTTGATAAGGATTTTTTTTTTTTTTTTTATTAATGAGATTTAATTATAATTATTATATCTCAACAATACAAAAAGAAACAAAAAATGTATATCATATGTAAAAGTGGTAAGGTAAATCGGAAAAGAATATTATGGAGTGGACGAGATGGGAAGTGTAATTTTGTTAATTAGGGAAGTTAGAGCCAATAGAAGAGGGTTTAAAATACATTTTAAATCTTCTATAAATTTGTTGATGGAGAGTTGGATTGACTGATGATGAGTTGGCTGTGGCGTTGGTATAGATGTCGGTTTTTGATTTGGAGTTTTAACTGGGGACGTTGAAGAGTGTGGTTGAACAGGTTCAGCAGATGGCTGGGAGGGTTAATTTTTAGGTTTATCAATTTGTTAAGCGACTTTTTGAATGGTACTCTTTTACTCTTTGGATATCTTAAAAGGTGACAACCTTTGTAGTTGTCTAATAGTATTAATTCTATATAATAGGTTATTAGTAGTAACAAACCATTTTCTTAAATATTTACACTTTCATAAAAAAAACATAATATTTTTTTATTAACAACACAATTTAACGTGTACTTGTTTACTAGTTATAACAAATTGAACCGGCGGAGAAGTATGGCAAACTTGGTTCCTTCTACGGTCCTCGATACCACGGGAAAAAAAAGTATAAACAAATTATAAACAAAGAAACAATGTAAACGCGTTCAAATTCATATAGGCCGACGGCCGTCCTGCATCATGTTATAGGTATAGAAAAGTTTCATTACCCTGTGTTCTAAGTTATTTTGTGATAAGCAGTTCTGTTTTTTTCTGGTTTATAATATAATATTATTATGATTATTGTTACACAAATAAATAATAACTACGTACCTGTGATCTGTTTGATACAACAAAAATACCTGAACTAAAGATTATTTCATAATTCCTGTTATAGCTGGGAACATAATAGTTAGGTGCCGAAATACCCGAAAACCTATACTTATAAGATATATAGTAGGTAAAGTACAACATTTTTGTATTTATTGATAATTTTTACTTAAAAATAACCAATGTAGGTGTATAATAGAAAAAGTATTTTGTTCTTTGGTGGACCACATTTTAAACTTGGGCACAAGTCCTCTTAGTTCGGCCCCTTAGTTGCACCATGGCATCAGGGTAAACTGTATAGGAATGTGGTTACTTAGTTTATGGATTCTAAGTAAAATAAACGAGTTAGCTATCGTTATGATAAGTGATAACAGCAATACAGCATAACATAATTATTAATTTTTTTTTTTTTATTATTTTCATTTGAAATAAACAATCTATACAGTTTTGCACAATAAGTTTATATGCTGAGAGTTATTTAATGACATGAAAGTTGTGAATTAAGCAACCACCCATATTAGTGGTTCTTAATGGCTTTTAATTAGTTAGGTTTTTTTTTTTTTTTACTATAAGACGTTAGACATTAAACTATTAAAGTTTAGTGAAAGATCACGGCACCAGTTTCTTTTCAATCTGCGGTTAGGATTTCCAGGGAGAGTAAAAATGGAAAGATCTTTTATGAGGGGTTAGGATGATTTTGAAGTCGTTTATGAAATCGTTGTTGGAAGTGCGCGGTGCTTCCTGATCTATTGTTTTCATATGGAAATCATTATGGAGAGCGTGGTTAGAAATATAGGGCTTAGCATTGGATAATCGTCGGAGTGATATGTTTTGAAAAGTTTGGATTCGATTAGTGATTACTGATTAGTGATAAAAGTTTATTCGATTAGATTTTTTTGCTGCACCCCAA